ACAGTATATATATACATCACCATCAAATATACAAACGGTACATATACAGTATATATATACATCACCATCAAATATACAAACGGTACATATACATCACCATCAAATAATTTGCCCAGCAAGTTTCTGAGTGAAGGAATTTAGAATTTATCTGGTTTAATTTAGATGAGCATAACTCGAGAAAGTTTTCAAAAGCGAATGTATATGTTCAAACATTTCATTGTCGGGTTTCCAATAAATGGAATATCGTGACAAGGTTGAGCCATGCGTTTATGCTAAATAGCAGGAGTAAACGGCATTCTACTAGCATATCACAATGATAAATCATTTGTGGAGTTCTTAGGTACTGCCGTTTAAGAGTTGCAGGCAGTTGCGTGCTTAGATTTTGCATCGTTTTGCTCGAACCATTGCTGATGCGATCGTGAAGAGAATATACTTTGCGTGGCCGTATAACTTTACGACAGCATGGGGAATCGTTTTTGCTACACGAAATCACCATTTACATCAATCATGGGAAATCGTAAGCCTTTGGTTTAGTGGTTTTATATAGCGGACATCTATGCTGCAAGTGTTACTACTATGTGTTAATGTTATTTGTTTCGTAACTTTCCAGCCGATAAAAACTCGACCATTCGTGAAATTGAGAAGCACCTTGATGAAGCAAAGGAACTGGTAAGAAAGGTTTGGGGTTTAGAAAGAGGAAATCCACGAAGGGGCGAGCAAAATGCCGTCAATATTAACTATCACGATTTGATTGTATTAAAGCCGCACAATGCGCATTCAAACGCTAATTTCTCTAGTACTAGACTAGCAAATACTTCGTGTCATGCATAATCACACTACCTTATGACAAAATAAACTCTAGTTCCTCCCATTTCACTGTGCGTTGTCTTATGAAAGGTATTTGAAAATACCTCCAATGTTGATCAAATTCTACGATGTTGTTGACAGTTTCCCCAAGCAGCGGTGCTGCGGTACAGCGGTACGGGTGTAGCAAAGATAAAAACATGTGACGTCACCTATAACCACTTCGAGGCTAAATTGTTTGGCAAACAAGTCGGCGTTTGCGCCAGAATGCCAGTTTTCTCACCTCTTTCTTGTGGGTTTTAAGCAAACGCG